AGATGCTTGCGCTTGATTTGGTGCCGTATGTCAAGCGCGGCAATGGCCTTGTCAAGCCCGGCTTGTCAAAAAAGTGCTTGGAGCAGCTTTGTACAGTGCATTTCAATTACATGGGCTCCCAAAAACCTGCCGGCAAGGAGCAGAAGGCTATCAAGAATAAACTGTATGCAGACTTATGGGAAGAAGTGAAGCACAGGATTCTTCGTGAGTGCGGTGTATGCGTCGGCCACGGCGCCAAAACCGCATAGCTGTCAGTCAGGGAGCAGATCTGTCCTCGCCAAGCAAAGAGGGACAGTGGCGCTATGCTGTATTCTGTCCCCATCCGTGGCGCCAGGACGATGAAGACTTGGAAGATCCTGAGGAAAGAAAAGCCAAGCGTGCCAGGTTTGTTGCCGGAGCCATGCAGGAGCTGAGCATGGGCCGGCCCGGGTATAACCCGTTGCACGAAGCGCTTGTGCCTTTGGACGAGGATGCTTTGCTTTGTGTGGACAAGGAGACTCGCTCCGAGTGGGGTGCTTTGAATCCTTTTGCTTCCAGCTTGAGCCTGGAAGCTTTGCCAGATGATATGACTAGTGCCATTTTGCCTGAGACTCATGCTTGGACTTTACGTGTTGGTCAGGGTGGTATTTCGCACGCAGATGCGATCGCCCTGACTCCAAAGCAAGCAGGTGTCGATGCGGCTTGTCTGCCCGCCGATTCCTCCGCCCCGCAACGTGCTCCACAGCCAGCAGGCGTCGATGCGGCTTTTCTGCCCGCCGACGCTATCGCCTTGCAGCATGTGCCACAGCCAGCAGGCGTCGATGCGGCTTTCCTGCCCGTCGATGCCTCTGCGCCGCAGCTTCCACAGCTTGATCCAACGCAGCAGTCTTTTGTTGCTCACATGTCCGCCTGGTGTGAGGCATACTTGAGCGCGCCATCTGCTTCCGGCGTGAATTTGCCTCTGCCAGCAGATCTGGGTGGTCTTTAGAAGCTGTGCGGCCCCGTCTTGTTGTTAGGGACTGCAGGCACAGGCAAGACGACAACAGTGCAAGCTGCCAATGCAGAGATGGGGCAGCGCGGCATCAAGGACCGCATCGTGCGTGCCGCGTATACCGGTGTGGCTGCCAGCAACATGGGCAGCGGCGCGCGCACCATAGCGTCCTTGTTTCGCTTGCGCCCAAATGGTGGCGGCGGTCTGTCCTCGCTCTCCGAAGAGGACATGGCCGCCATGGCCACAGAGCTCGGAGAGATGGCAGTGCTTGAAGTGGACGAAGTGTCAATGATCGAGAAGAAAGTTTTGGCACACATTCACATGCGCTTGCAGCAGTGGCGGTACGCAACCTACCACCCTAAGCACTGTGACCGCAAAGGCGCCTGCAAGTGTGGCGCGCGCTTGCCTTTTGGTGGCGTCAAAGTCGTGCTTGCGGGCGACTTTGGCCAGCTGCCCCCCGTGGCAGTGAAGGATGACGCAACTTTGCTCAGCACGGCCGCCCAGGCCACGGGCAAAGATCATGCGGATGTCAACCTTGGGGCAAGATTGTTTGGCAGCATCCGCAACGTGATTCGCCTGCGACGTGTGCATCGGCAGGCAGGTGTTTCGCTGTACAAGGAGTCACTGCTGAGACTCCGCGATGCTGCACACACAAAAGAAGATGTCGCGTTGTGGAAGACACACGATCTCACCAGCCCAGAGTGCACTTTGACGGCCGAAGAAATCCGGCGCTTCCACGAAGAATGCGTGCACCTTTTTTGTGAGAAGCAGCGCGCCGGCCAGTTCAACGGCCGCCGTTTGGGCGAGGACGCTGCAGCAGAAGGTGGCACGGGCATTTTGCGCGTGTGGTCGGCAGACTCGAGCCCGTTGGTAGAGCGTCATTCTTGTGACTCCTTTGGCGGACTGCGCCGAGGTTTGCACTGCACCCGGGGCGCTCCCGTGATGCTGACGTCCAATGTTCGCACAGTGTGGAACTTGGTGAACGGCTTGCGTGGCAAGATCGTCGGAGTTGTCCGGCATGCAGCGGCGCCCGTCTTTTCTGACGGCGCAGCAGGTCAGCAAGCAGCTCAAGCGAAATCACGGAACGCAGCAGAGGTCGGAGGCTGCTCAGCATCAAGCTTGAAATATTTGATTGTGGACTTTCCGGGCTACCTTGGGCCATGCATGGTAGAAGGCCATCCAACATACGTGTGCATTGGGCTGCAACGCGTTCGACATGAGCGCATGCCCATGCTCTACCGCGAGCAGTTCCCGCTGGTATTGAGCTATGGCATGACAGTGGGACTGACGTTGTCCGATGGCTGTGTGTTCGATATGGCGCACGAGCCTACTTGGCAGCCGTTTCGCACGGTGCCTGGCTTGGCCTTTGTTGGGCTGTCACGCGTGACCGATTTCAGGCACATGGCGTTTCGCCACGTGCCTGACTACTGGGTGTTTCGTGCCGTTGCAGAGACCGCCTTGTTTCGGTACCGCTCCACTTTAGAGGCGCACAGCTGGACAAAAAGCACGATGAGACTGCTGGACGCCATTTCTTTGGCAAAGCCTCCTTGCAAGATGACCTCGAGCGTCACAGAAAGTGGTCGGAAGCAAAAACTGGAGCCCCATTGAGCGAGGCTGAGCTGGCAGACCTCACTCAAATGCTGTCCCTCCGTGGCGTGCTGCCAGACCCTGGCTACACGGACAAGCCACAACGTTTGCCGGCCAGCAAACTCGGCGGCGGCCGCAACAAGCGTCGCACCATGCGCGACGAAGTCGCTGCGGGAGAAGACGAAGACGGAATGCCGCACGAGGATGATGATGCTTTGACTCCAGATCAGCTGCAGCAGATAAAGGAGGAGGCAGTGCATCGTCAGATTCTTGCTGAGTTCTATGAAGAGCTGGATGCACAGAACTCGACATACCTGACGCGAGAAGAAATGGGCATCAGCCCCGAAGACTGGTATGCGTGAGGGATTATCTATTGCTTCAAAGACTGTGTCTTTTCTGACCGGTTTTGGCAAGCCAGTGGTAGCGCCTAGCATTGAGTGGGCATTTTTGGCACGCTTTGGCAAGCAGATGGTGTGCACGAGCAGCAAGCTGCGCAGCGGGCGCAGGGTACTTTGAGGGGAGGCATCTACAGGAATCTAGACGCCAAGAGTGCCACAGAATCTAGACGCCAAGTAGTGGCACTGCAGAGTCGTAGCGTAGACAAGCTCGTCGTGGATCATTTAGACATTGGTAGTAAGATGATCATTGGTGTTTCCTGGTCGCAGTTGAAGCTTTGGTAATGATCCACATTACGTGAGCTTTCCTTGGGAGCAATTGAAAACGAAGAATCACTTGGTTGGTTCATGGTACGGTTAGTTCTTTTTGTCTGGTATACTGGCCCCTGGTACCAAGCCGGCTCCACCGCTGTCAACTCAGACTCCCACACGTGGAGTCACGGGATGAGGGTGGGCGGGTTGACATGTGGAGACCCCTTGTTACATTGGTTTCTTGTTTGTTGCTTTGTGTACGGTACGGTTTGTTCAACGGACACAGATTCCTTCGTTTTCATCAGGTCACGTGCGTCTTTTCTGACCACGTGAGTTGGTGCTGCGTGTATACTTCATCTGACAGATGGCAAAAAAAACTATGCAGACGTTCGCGATGCCGTGAGTTGTGTCCTGGCTACGGTTTTTTGGGAGTGATGTGCGAGGGAGCTGGAGTGATCGCGACGACCATGATAGATATCAGGCAACAGAGGCGAAGGCAAGCTTGGGGTTTTTACAGCATGTTTTTCCGTGTTTCATTGTCGACACCTGCGTTTGTCAACACAACACAGAACAGAGTTGTCTCTTATCCGCAGCTGGTTATGCATGAGCTAAATATGGCTGCAACATTGCAACATCATGACAGCAAGCACTGACACAGCTTCATCACAAGCCCAGGCACCGACACAGCATCACCGCAACAAAGCAGGGAAATCACAGCTTTTTTTTCTTCTAGCAGCGCGGCTTTTCTGCCCGCTGTGCCATGGCTGCCTCAGATGCGCAGTGGTACCGCTTGGAGGGAGACTTGCTTCAGAGGCTGAAAGGCCGCTATGAAGCGGCGCTGGAAGTGCCGCAGCGCAGAGAGGCGAGCGAGTGCTGCTGCTGCCATCGCACACGGGACTTTTGGTATTCCAAGCCGGGG